CGGCCCTCCTTCTCATGTTGCTCTGGCTCGCGCCTGCAGCCATGGCTGCGGCAGCTCCAAGCGCCGGGAGAACCGAGGACTCGAGGGACACGCCAGCCTGCGCCGGCAGATCCCGAGGCCGAGGGGCGATGGGGGACGATGGGGGCTTAAAATCGGAGCTGGCACGACTCGAGCTTGTGTCGACTCGTATCATCTATTGCCTGTCAGACTTGTTTCTTTGCCAAGGAGCCGCCATATGTGGCATGAAGGTACGGACCAGCCACTTGAGCTCGGTGCCTGCAACAGGGTAATGTCAAGCTAAGAGGGGCAGCAGATCATGAGAGCCGCGAGTTGATTTGCAGCTTACAGCACTGCGCCACCTTCAGCGGCACGAAGCAAGCCAACCAGTCGAGTGGTTTTTGCTTTCTCGACACCTCAACTTCTTGCTTTGCTGCCAGCGATTGATCAAGTTCAGTACAGTATCACAAAATCCTGCAAAATCCAAGCGCTGGTGGCAAAGCATTCAACTCCCTGCAGAAGCATTTTCTACAGCCGAGGTGCCTGTTCCCTGCAAATCCGCCAGGCTCAGCAGTGTGCGGCGCACCGCGCCTGCCTTCGGAAAACATGCTGCCTTCTGTTTGTACAAGGCCTCCAAAGATTCTGAGAGCATTGCTGCAAGCTGTTGCATCTTTGAAATTTGATCCAGATCCTTCACTGCTACCCTCCCCTGCCGTCAGCGGTTGTGGCGCCCGGAGCAGTCGTTGCTTGCCGCCGCGCTCCCGCAGGGCCAAAGCCACCTCATGGTTACTACGTGTGACTACAGAGTGTCGCACCGAGTCAGCACACAGCTGCTTTCCGTCGCTGTGTGTCGTTGCAGAAACGACGAGCCGGTCTGAGGAACCGACTTGACCACTGTCGTGGAGCTCCTGGTAGAGGCCTAAGCAGTTCAGGCTTGACAGCCATAAGCAACTTCTCGCGACTGCGGAGTCTTACGAAGCGCCAGCTCAAGCACAGATGTTCGGTTCAGGCTTGCAAAAACGACAGAGACTACTTTACTGCTCACGCAGGATCTCTCGGCAACTTCCCTGAGCAAGCTGCGGTTCATGTCTGCCTGACCACGGACCGCTCAAATGAGCACGCAAACTCACACTACATGACCCAGATGCGAGGGCGAGAAAGACCAGCTATTTCAAGTTGGTACTCAGGTTACTTCCCACACACATCCAAGAGCACCATACTTATCTACATGTCCCTCCAGTGACAGATGCATCTTCGATCGAGACTGTCTGCCTCCCACGACATGCACGTGCGACCAACACCACCAGACCCAAGTGACCCAAGTCCTTGAACCACAGCCCTTGAGCCCTGGCCTTCGAGGCACCAGTTGCCTCCAGCAGGGAAGCCTCGCATTGCGCCACGACTCCGTAACATATCATCGGCTTTGGGCTTGCTTAACATCTTAGCCTCCTGAGTTTCAGCGAAGTGCTTTCGTGTCTGTCGTCATGCTCTTTAAACCGATGATGAGGCAAAGCGACCGTTATGGACTTGTGCGGGATGCTGAGAGGGCGCCCTCCTTCCACCCAGTCGGGTCGCAACCTGCCGAGCGTAAGATGGATGAGGGAGGTCTGCCAGGATGCAAGCTTGAGCCTGTGGCCACCGGCTTGTGCATCCTTTGCTGGTGCGAAGAGGTAGCAGGCGGATTCCACCTGGCTGTTGGACTTGCATTGCCATGCCGGGACTCTGCCGCAAGACACCTCTTCTGCAGGTGCCGCCATAGCCAACATGACCCGGAAGGAGTTGGTAAGGATGGTATCCTGGAGTACTGCAAGGCTGATGGCTTGTGGGAATCCTCTGCAATCAGCTCAGATGCAGCACCGTTTCTCGGGTGAATATAGGCGTGGGGAATCTGGCAAGTCCAGAATTTCCAGTCTCCTTGCTCAAGCGGCTTCGGGTAGCTTCCAATGCCTCGTGAGAACCAGGGCGGCCAAACCGCCCTTCTCTTGGCACGCTGAGATTGCTAGGGGAGCGGCATCAAGGGCCGCAGCAAGGTGACGGTAAGGTACTGGCGCACCTTTCTTGGCCCAGCCTTGAATCGTCGCTGCAGGGTTCCAGTTCGGAATGGAACTGATCGTGATCGGAACTGTTCGAAGGCAGGTCGCAGCCTGCTGCGCTTGCCTGGCCGTGCAGGATGATGAGCCAGTCTCGACATCTACACGCAGCTTTGGCTTCGGCTTTCTTTTATCCGATCTGTACCAGCTTCAACTCAAGGAATTCAGAGATTATCCGGCACGAGCTGAAGCTCATGCACCGGACCAGCCCCGAAGCAGGCAGAGGTCCTCTGACACCTAGCAGACCTAGCGCTGGTAGCACCCTTAAGACTGGCTTCCCGACCCGAGCCGAAGACCTCAAATGCCTGAACGAAGTCCACAGGCAGAGTGCACCGGGCGGAAGTCGGAGCAGCTCGTAGACAGGGCGGCTGCGGCGACGCTGGCGGACCAGGCTGATTCCTGGCTGCTCATAAAATCGTGGAAGAGGAGGAGGAGGACGGTTCTTCGAACCTTTGTCAGGGTCGTCCCCAACACTTGAAGATGCTGCTACTATTGCAGCCATGGTCATTCCCACCAATCCCGGTCCCAATCTTCATCTAGGTTTTCTTGGAAGGTTCATTCGGTATAAAATGTCGTCCCGGCCCTCATCCCTCAAGATCTGAGTGTCCTACTGAATTCTGTTTGTACCACAAGTCCGAGCCTCTGAGACCACTAGGGCGTTTCTGAAGCTGCGCGTGTGTTTGAGCCAGGCTCTGGCACTTTCTGAACCCTTGTCTTGTCTATCAAACCAAAGTGACTGACCGGACTCACTGCTGTATGCAGCGACCCCTTGTGGCGACTCGTCAGCCTGTAGATGCCAGTGTCAAGACTCGGAGGGGACGACTACGAGGCCAACAGCAGAACCATGCCAGATCACGATCACGAACCGACTCTTGCGGGAAAGATACCGGGGCGGGACTCGGACTCGGCGGACGCCCCGGAGTCGGAGGCTCTGCCGATGGAGGCTCCTCCTTGCCTCAGACTCAGAGACTTGGAGGGTGTTAGGCTCGCCTAAACTGATTCTCTCGTTGTACTGCTGCACCCATCTGCCCATGTCCCTCTGGCACGACGGCCGCAGAGTGCGCAAGTGCGCAAACTAGTTTCTGCACTTTTACAGCAATTTCTAGCTGCCGCAGAGTAGTCCAACTTCGGAGCTACTCTACGCTGAGGGGAGGGAGAGAGAGAGAGAGAGGGAGGCAGGCAGACAGCGAGACTGCCAGCAAGCCCGCCCGACGAACGGACGGACAAAGGGACGGATGGAGGAGTCACAGAGTGACAGACACCCAGCCTGCCACCCGACCAGGCCGCAGACAGAGAGACATAGAGACAGAGCGAGCGCGAGAGAAACAGCGAGGGAACGACCTCAGAGAGGAGCGAGGCAAAGGGACAAAGGTAGAGAAAAGAGGGCGAGAGCTATCACTCTTGACTCTTGCTACTGGCGCGTAGCCGGCGGCGGAGGCGCTCGCTGTGGAGACAAGAGGCATGCAGCTCAGTTCCACCCCTCCAAAGGACCCGACATTCCGGGATCGTCGGAGTCTTCTGAAAGAACGATGCGACCCCCGACGCCTGGCCAAATCGAGCATGGCCAGCTTACTCTGTTTGAGTGCTCAATATCTCCTTGCCTGAGCACAAAGAAAGCTCGAATTCAGAACATTCAGAACAGGGCGCAGCTGAGGTGTCAATGGAATCCATTGCTACTGGGATTCGCCTGCGAGGTTGCTGTCGGCTTCGGGCTTTGCTTGGGCCGTTTCCTCGGTCAGACAGCTGGAGGACGCCGAAAAATGTGTGCAGAAACATGCCCGAACCGTGGCAAAGATGCAGGAGGAGGTCCGTTCTGTTCTCTGTCAGAATCAAAGTATCCGGCTGGCCTTGGGGGCTGCGTGGGCTGCTCCAGGGCGCCGCCGCAGGCCTCACAGCTGCGCTGTGCCGGATCCTCGCCTTGACAGCTGACCGACTCGAAGCTCGAAAGAGGTCCTAAGAGGAGCTTAAAGGACTCTAACTTCTGATTTCGCAGCTCTCAGCTCTCGGACCTCAGGATGCGGCAAATGAGTGTGCAGGCCGGGCAGCTCCTTGGGGCTCCTGGCGGGAGCCTATCCGGGCCTCTCCGGCCTATGGCAACTGAAGCATCGGAGTTCCATCACGCGGAGCCTGGTGGAGGCTCAGGATCCGTGAAGTCATCTTCGAGGTCAATGCAGGTTGGAGAGTTCAGGCTCCTGGCATGGGATTCATCGGGCATGTCTGAAACCGTGCTCTTCGTTTGCTGCCCTCAGCGCGCCTGAACTCCTTCGGTGGAGCCAGGTCGCCCCCGCAAAGGGTGCATGCTTGCAGCGAAGCATCGTCGCACAGCAGCGTGCCTCGGGATTGTTAGCTGAATCGCAAAAATAATGCAAAAACTGGTGGTGGGAGACGTCAAACAATATTGTTCTGTTGCGAAGCTTCACGGGCTGAGCAGGCGTTTGGAATAAAGCTACCTTATCCCCTTCCTGAGCAGGTCTGTTCGGAACTGTCGTTGATGCTGATGGCCCTGTCTACAAATCAAAAACCGGCTCAGCCCGCAGCATCGAACACAAGCGCGGGATGCAGCGGCCATAGCTGAAACATAGCTGTAACGCTTGCAGGTCTCCACGCTGCACACGCAGCAATCTAGATGCTGGCGATGCAGGTCGTCTGTAGCCGGTGGGCGAACATATGATGGCATTTTGATCGCAACAATTTAGGTATGCTGTAAAGCGATGTGACTCCAGAAAACATACGTTAAGTGTCCTTCGCTCTTCATGTTGTGACCTTCACTTTCAAAATGATTCAGCCAGGAGCATCTGCAAAATGATATCATGCCTCGTAGTGTATGTTGCCTTCTGATTCCTGGCCTTCCTACAGTTGCCGTTCAAGCAAAGATCAGCACGGGCCGTCTTTATCGTGCAAAGGACTCCCGGCCTCTTCACCAGCAGCCTGCCGTGCAACGCAAGATTGTGTTCGAACATGGCAACCGTCATGAAGGGATGTCCATGGTACTAAACTTCCCTCAAGCTGCAGACCAAAATTGACGAATGCTCGCGATATTCTGTCCCTTGAACTGTTCAGCTAATTTCTTGTGACATGCCTCTCTCCCTCCCTCGTCCCAGACCCAGGCACCCACCCAGCAGCCAGCCAACTAGCCACCTGGATGTGTGATCAGAAATAGAAACATTAGAAACGAATAAAGCCGAGTAGAGAGCGAACAGAATTAATTACATATCCCGAGTAAACTTAACCTGCCCATGGCTCCCCCTTCCTCCCGGGGCAACCTCGCTCGCGCCGAAGAAGCGACTCTGGCGAGAGCAGGGCTGACTCATCGCACTAGGAAGTTCCCATGACTGCATTCGCTTGTATCAACTCTGGACGCGCCGATTTCGAGGAATCTCGAATGCAAGGTTTGCCGTGATTTGTTGTGTGTTTTCTGTGCACGCCGCATCTGCTACCACTGGAGCCTCCATCGATTCGGGCGAAATTGTCAAGACAGGAGCTTCGCCTCTTGCCCGATATTGTGATTCACGACTCGCTTCAAACATGCAAAACAATTCCACTTTATTCAGACAGCGGCGGCACAAGCTTCAGAGTCGCAGCCATGGCCCTTATATTGGCTGAACATGAACCAGACCTCATTCAATCCCATGCCTAGTCTGCTGTCCGGTCAGCTGCCGCGTCTGGTAGATCTTGCAGATTGCGACGAACTGCGCCAGCTCTACAGACTTCGGGAAAACGTATTTCGCAGCTCTCCTGTGAAGGTCTGCGGTCTGCGAGCTTCAGATGTCACACGCGCCGACACACTGGATGTGGCCTGGTTCTGATGTGCTCCTGCGGCCGTGGTTGCAAATTCCGCGGCCGCAGCCGTTTCTCGCATCGCGGATGAGAGATGTGGGAGGGTATAGTGGCTCCTGGGATCAATGGGCCCATGGCCACGAAGCCACTGTCTTCCAAGGGCCAAGATGGGGCAAGAATGCACGCCCCTCGACCGTGCTGCAGAGCTTTCTGGACCCAAGCATTGCTTTCAATGAAACTGGCTTGTGATTCCTGTCTTGGGTAGACAACCTGTTCTGGTGCTTCAGGCAAACGGCTCACAAAGGTCGACTCTGCACCCGAGGGTGCAATGACTTGCATGAGGTACCGATGCAAGCGCAAGTTCAGCCATGCACCATCCTCTTCACTCGACCTGATTCGAAACTACTCCTCAGGGCCAGCCGGCCAGATGCTCCAACAAGTCCAGGGAGTAAGCATCCCTCTCTTCCGGTCGCTTCGCACCTGCTCCAAAGCCTCTTGAAACCGCGAAAGCTGCGTTCTGCGCTTAGCAACAAGGACCGTGACAAGGAGGTTACAAGCCAATTGCTTCCTCCGGTGCCAAGAGAACTCCCAAGATCTCCGCCTACCCTGGCCCCTTCTCTCGAACAGCGCTCTTTGCTCGAAAGTTGCCCTCCGTGCGATCCCGAATGACCGACCCCGTCTCACAATCCTACGCGAGGGCCAGACAACGAGGAGTCAAGTAAAGGCAGGATCATCGCGCATGATTGGCTCATCCATCTGGAATGCTTCGGCTCTCTGAACTTTCTTCTGAATGGCAGCTCTGCAATCCGATGTGTGATCCACATGATTTGCTCGCGATGACAGTCTGCTGTGTGTGCAGCTCTCAAAGGATTAAGGTCGCACACTGTCAGCCGTTCTTTTTTGGCTTCCGTGTATAGCGGCGGTATAGCAGTCATGGTAGTCTGCAGCCGCAAAATGCCGCGCATTTCTCTCAAGCCAAACCCCCCGGCTGGCGGCGACGCGGCGCTTCTTGTTTCCACGGTCTGCGTGCACTGGGCTGTGCCTCATTGCCATCCCACAGCCGCACGTTCGGGAAGTTTTGGCATGATACGTAGAGCCCTGCAGGGGTCAGCATGCCCCGGAACCCTCACCGGATCGCTTGAGGCCAGTCGCCAGCTGTTGCTCCACAGCTGGCAGCATTCCGGGCATGTATTCGCACAGCTATGAGGCCTGGCGGGCACCTTACGCCACGCCAGAAGCCCAATAACTTCGCGCTTCCAGCGCCGTTCTGCCGAAACCATCTCCGGGGTTAGAAAAGGCTCGAACCTGTCATCCAGGGGCGGAAGTTCTTGAACACGACTAACCTTGTCGCCAGAAGTCTCCTCCATGTTGCCTGCCGCCGCAGGAATGACGGTCTCGTCTCTGCAAGGTCGCATGCTTTTTGGCATGCTGCGGCTGCGCTGTTTGCGCTGTGAAAACCTGGCGATACTCGAGGAAGGTGTTAAGCGTGCCAAGCTCGAACTCCACCTTCTCATCGTCTTCTCCGCCAGCTGTAGCCGTGCTAGCCGCGGTCTCGTTAGAGGGTGGTGGCGGGCGAGGTGGTTCATATGGACAGTGTGTAGGCAGCTTCTGGCGCTCCCAGCAGGAGCATAGTGATGCTTGTGCACCGCCCATGGCTGCGCACAAAACCGATACTACCAGCAATTATACTGCCTGGATTTTTGAGTTTTACATGCTGCCACACACCTAAAACTGCGGGGCTTCCCATGATAAAGTGTCCAAATCATGGTGCATTGGAAGTTGTGGTGTGCTCGTTTTGCAACCGCACTGCTGCATGCAATGCTAGCGAGACAGCTCTGCACAGCCTCACCTGACCCGATTCGACTAGAATTAGTGACTATGACGGGGCGTCATCAGCCATATTTGGTCTAGAAGGAGATGGCTTGAAGAAGGAAGTGTTCAGTGATTCGTTGAGCTGGCAAAATCATTGGCTTGGCTGAGGCGACAGCAGAACGGCGTTCACGGCAGGATCGGGCTTTTCTCACGGCAATCAGCCGCTCTGAAAGAGATCCCATGCCTTGGCATCAAAACTGCACTGTCTGAACTACCTCTGCAGCGGCTTATGCCTGCAGCAGCATTTCTGGCCAGCTAGGCAGGTGTGCAGTCCACGCAAGAATCCAGCAAATAAGATTTAGACTTTAGATCAGATGCTTGTGTGTCAAATGGTGTCAAAAGTCTGTAGCCAGGCTGGGCAAGCAGGCAAGCCTGCAAACATTAACCTATGTTTCGAATTCGCAGGCTCTGCAAAAGGAACTAAAGCTTGGTGAACAGGCTGTGCCTGTGAACTTGCATCTCACACTCCTCGTACGGGAGACCCTCGAAAGGTGCAGAACCTTTGTCCGTCCCGGAATGACAACTTAAACATTTGAGCAGTGCAACAGCTGTAGTGCTGGCACCGCACACAGCGCCTTCCTAACACGTCGCTACTTACATCGCTTCTCGCTTTCAGCTCCGATCACGCCTGGCCTGGGTTCTCCGCTTAAAAGGTGCGACGCTTTCTCAAGGCTGAGGCTGCTGCCAAAGCCGGTCAGCTGCGACCTAAGCGCTTCGAACGTAGAAGCGATTGCAGACCTTCTCGTGGCATGAGGCTTCGACTGCAAGCCACTGCAGGAGCCGTAGACCTAAGCAAGAGAAGATTAAGATGCTTGAGATCTTACCACACGCCCTGGGTCGTCGGCATTGCCCATCATGTTTCTGGACAGAAGATCCTCCTGAACACCGGCCGGTCCCATCAAGCCCTTGAACACGTTCACGTGCGCAGTCTGAATGCCTGAGCTGGGAAACCCATCATGGTGTTGGACCTTAGTGGACAAAGGTGTGAGGGTCTTCGTGCTGGATGCTGGAGAATTGACTTCACCGGCCAACGCACATGGCAGGGTGGCATTTCTCAAAACATGTCCAACTAGGCAACCGTGCAGAGTCTGAGACAGGAGGTCCTGGCGTCACGCTCGCTTCGGGGGTGTGGAAGAGCCCTGGTTCCGTAGCAGGTCTGGTCACATAGTTTTTCAAGAGCTCGCCAAGCCTGTCGAACTGTGCTGTCATGATAACTGTCACTGCTTACTTCGGTGTTCAAGAGCAGCACGATTCTAGTTACTGGTTGCTTCTCGGTACACTGCAGTGAAGGCTGCGGAAGCCACGGCCGAGGCTCTACGGCTCCTCTGACAGAATGATTCTGCTTCGTTTCGGATGCAGGCTGGATTGTGCTTGGTTGTACACAATTTAGTACTGGGCATGCCTTGTTTCGGATCCTGGCTGGATTGTGCTTGATTGTAGTACAACATCAGTACTGGAATGGATTGTGCCTGATTGTAGTACAACATTAGTACTGGAAGTGCGTCGGTTTCGGAAGCTGGATGAATTGCTTCATTGTAGTACGACATAGTACTGGAAAAGCCTCGTTTCGGATGTAGGCTGGATTGTGCTTGATTGTAGTACATCATTAGTACTGGAAGTGCCTCGTTTCGGATGCTCT